CGCAATACCAGCCGGGACAGAATTAACATCGGGCAAAACTCTTTCACTGTGATGAGTAGGTTGGAGGTTGCATCATATTATAGAAGCACCCTGCAAACATTTCCTATATAGCTTATATGAACAAAAAGTTGTTAATGTAATCCACTTTAAAAGCAAAGTGAGCCAATTAGCTTCAAATTTCTACAATTAGCTCCCTAAATCTATAACTAATTTACTTTAAGAATATCAACCAACACAGTTGGCTCTATACTCATTAAAAAAGCTGCTCATAAAATGGACACAAACAGCATGTTTCATGGGCCGCATGTAATCTGATTTCCAAGCTTCGAAAACAGCAGAGAGTAAAGGCCCCCACGTGATGCCCTACATGTTTTCCATGACCCAACCTCGGATGATTTTGGTCCAGACAGTTATCCAAACATCACGCAATCTCTCTCCAAGGTTAAGGCGCTCAGTGAGGATGTGACCGTCGCGTGCAGCGAGGACTTTAAAGAAAACGAGCAATGAACTGTCATGTTCTTCTCTTTGTTCTTCCAGAAATAAAGGCATGTCGTGTAATCAATCCACTGCATTACGTTGGGCCCTCAATTCTCTAGACTAAGTCCTCACAATCCAAAACAAACGCACAAAAGGGAAAATGACAGCAAAGTACAGGAAATCTTCACTGTTCTCAACAACTCAAAGCGAGACAGCTAGCTCAATCGAAGATAAAATGTGTATTGGTATCCCAAATGTGGATTTAGCTTGACGGAATTCAGCGTGCAAATCAAATTGATTTCTCCACAGAATACATACATGATTAGAAGTTCCAAGTACTCTTCAAAATGGTGAATAAAATATGAAATTCAACTAACTCTAGATCGTCATCGATCATCAACTGGATTTGGTTCCATTATTCTTACAATCCAAGCAACTGAATTTGATTTTTTGCCAAAAATTTGGCCCAGTATTTTTAATAATTACAAGATTAAGTCTTAATCGAAACAGGAACATTCAATTTTTCTTTCAAGGTCTTCTTTAAAAAAATTAGTCTTTTTTCTAATCTGCTTCCAGCGAAATCCTTGGGCTTACGGGTGTTAAGTTTCACGAAGGTTGCTAAGTACATGACATTCTTCACCCTTGGTCTTCGTAGCGTTTGCATTATGCGTCGATGTGCTTTCTCAATATCTGAAAAATTTGTTAGCGAATCTTTCCCCGGCAATTTCAAGATGGTCCATCTTAACGCGAGGACATCTGGCCCATGAAGACCTTGACCGGGACGGGAAATATTTGTTTAAATGTGAAGTATAATTAAGCACAGAGCGGTAAACGCATAGAAGCCAGAGTCTCCAAGGTTTGCCAATTCTTGAAAACTTCCTGCTGCTTGAAAGAGGGAAAATACATGTAAGTCTACATTTCCTGTACTCCTTAATAATTCCAATAAGGGGTGATATAATCACAGAGAAATGAGAACATTCCATCACATCCATACTATTTGCTTTATGGAGGAGGTCCCATGCGGCAAACATTGCACAGCGCAAATTTCCTGCTACCATCTACGTCAAGAAGCTTTCCAAAGAGTTTAAGTTACCTCATAACCGTGCCTCTTTTTCCTCAAGTTCTGAAAGGTCTCGTTAAGTCAGGGTACTTTCATATGACAATCATCACATTACATGCATGGCGACATTGAAATGCTGACAACAGCGGAAGGAAAATGGTGGTACCACTTCTTGGTGACGATGCAACGGATTACAATAACATACCAAAACAACAGCACCCTCGTTCATTCAAGAGACAAAGAACAGACGCGAAAGACATTGAAAAGACAGCTGAAAAACCGCATTTTAAAATTGGCACGTTCTTTCACGAACCAATTTCACCATTCTCGGAATGGGCTGGGCAGACGAATGACTCCATAATGAAATGTGCGTCCATATGGACTTTGTTTCAGAGCCAAGATCATGCTTCGACATTTGCAAACACATCCACTGTCAAGCATTATTCCTGTAGTTAACACTACTTTCCGCTCTGATGTGTGAATGATAAATGAATAAATTAAATGTACAATTAGTATGGTCAATCAGTTTTTAGATGATTTTCCTAAAAGTGAAATAGACCTAGTCGGGCTGAAGTCATCTGTCCCGCGTCAGCCTCTATCCACAACACGGGCGATCTGTTTAGCTGTTATGGGCCGAACCATGTGTTCAATAGATGGGCCAAACAAAGCTTGCCTCACGCAGACTAGGCGTGGACAGACCACGGACGTGTATAATAAAATCTGGACTCGCAATGCCCTTAATCAGCTTATAGAGTCATTGAATCCACTCGCGGCCATTTTACCGAGCCGAATACAAAGCTTTCCTGGTAATGCCCGCTTTTGTTCTTCCTGACGTCAATAGTAGGGAGCCAACCCACGCCTTTGTATTCGGCTCGGTAAACTGGCCGCTGGTTGGCTTCTTTTTCATACAAAGGCGTTGCAAGTCCAGGTTTTTTTTATATACGTCCGTGGGACAGACCAGAACCTTCCACAAGACAGGTCGACGGGTGTTGTTCAATCGCAGTTGTCTTAATATATGTCAAAAGGCTTGAATTCTCTCTGGGGCAAATCGGAACTCCGCGTCTCGAAAGGCTGGTGTTGTTAGACGTCTGGAAAATCCCAGCCGACTAAGCTGTTCATTGAGCCGCCTTCCGCTCTCAAATGCGTTTATTGAAGGCTTAATTCGATGGTCAAGGGCAGAGTGGATTTTTTTCCCCAACTTTTATTAGATTCTTAATAACGCAGGGATTTATTTCACTTGAGACACTGGCTTCCAGAACCATTATGCGTATTTGCGTCTCAAATCCTAGTAATATTTGTACAGATCCACAAATTGAAAGGCGGCCCAAAATATGGGAACATTGTCTTGAACTTGTGGTACGTGCAGTTTTGAGATTACGTCGTATAGATTAAAGGTCAATCAAATAGCAGGTCACTCAAAGTTCCCAAATTAGTTGTCAAGGCGGGAACTCACCCACGGGTTTAATCCTGCGCTGAAAGCCGGTCTGTTTCCTCTTGGAATTGGAATCCGGTCATTTGTATTCAAATACCAAACGCCCTGGCGCGACAAAAATCTTGGCACTTAGTAATTTTGCTATACACAGTACATAGAAGATTACACAGATATGGGGACCACTTTCCAAGGTCTCGGAACTTCGAGGACTTGCAAATTACCGGTACTGCATGTAGGCCTATGCAAAGAAAAACTCATGGTATTGAAGTGATGTAAAATGAGAGAACACGCGTGCAGTTATTTTTCCTTTATTCATTCCAAATTACACTGTAAACGCGTCAACTGGCCGAGTTCCATCATTCACTATGAGAAATAGACCAATCGAACCCCAACTTGAGGTCAGAGTCAGTGGTTTTTGACGATATTACAAGACCAGAGCTCAGTGCTGTACTTGCCAGCAAACAATTAGCACTGCCCAGCTTGGCGGGTTTAACGATGCCCCTGGGTTTGTGGGAAATTCCGCGACCCAGGGCCAAAAACAGGAGGGGGTTTGTATTCTTTGTGGGGCTGGAACTTCCGTAGCCGATGGACTCAGCCGAAGAAAAGTGAAGGGAAACTCTGATCAGGCAAACTAAATAATGAAATATCCGGCTGGAATTAGACGTAGGCTAAGCTCACTGGTGATATTGGTAAAACAATTTCCCTATTAACAAAACTGAATTATTTCCCCTGTATGAGGTACGTGACCTCATGAGGATCTCAGTGTGCACATTACTGAATCTGCAACCTCATGTTTATGTGGTCTTATGTAGATGATACCCACGCACGTTTATGATTTTATTCCGTCTTCGAGGGATAGGGTATAAAAACCCTCTCCAGACCTAGAGTGCGGCCAAGGATGTTTGCCTGTGAAAGTTATTAAATTATTCACACGATATGACAATCGCGTGCATTCGGAAGTATGGAAGTTGGCGTTGCTGATTTGCGTCGTAAACCTAATGTCAGAAACATCCGGAAACTATGACTGCTATTCCGCACACGAAGATTATTTTTACATGTAGAAGATAGGATCTAGATAGGAACTAGATTTCACGAGGCCACTCTCTTTCCCGCATTATCCCCCGCAAGGGGTGGATTCTTCATAAAGAAGACCTTTTTTCAAAAACTGAATTTTTGTTTAGATCAACTGGAGTCTCATCCGTTAACAGTTTCACCCGACCACATTGAGCTTGTGTCATACTTGTCTCCCGCCGTATTCTTTTGTTCCAAAACCCACATTTTTGATCCACATTGCTTGTGATTCGAGTCGAGAATCAGCTTGGGCCCACGATGAAAATGAAGCACATCATGCGGCCACGCAAGATTAAAAGTTGCGCTCAAGATGAAAACAGAGGGACACAGAATGTGTGCAATGTACACGCAGAGGGCTGCATTTGAAAGTGATCAGAGCCACATATACAGGTGTGACATGAGGTCGTAATCATATCTAGTAATACCATTTTGCTCCCAAATAGTTTGCTGTGTAGCTTCATGTCGCTTGAACATGTCGATCAGAAAATGCATGGCAAAAGACGATCAAAGTTGGACAGTATTCAGTCTGCTGATTGTTCTCTGCGTGAAAAAAACACCAGCATGCCCACTGAAGTGCGCAAACAGTGGCTGACTTTGGAACTGAGGTGGCCCCTCATCCGAAGATGTCTCGAATCTCTCCCAAATATGTTGCTCGAGGGTAATCAATTAGTCACACCCACTTATGGAGAAGCCGCAAGTTTATACTGCAATCCTATTTCAAGCGTCGAGGTTTGATTCGAGCGTGGGAGGAGATCAGGTTTAGTGAAATAAAGTTCGCAGGAGCTTTTTTTGTGTGGTGTCGCAGCTTGGGGGGGAAGCGCTGAAAAATGAGTCTTTATGCGAAACTTGTTTGAAAGTGTTACCCCTGAAACCTCGCATCCAAGAACTGACGGGCTGCAGAAACATCACTAAATTGCCAATTTATTCAATCAATTGTTTTTATGAATTACCGAAACCCACCGTTCACTTTGATCCTGGCCCCTCCAGGCACCACCCGTCAGGGAGAACTCCTCGTAGGCCTGCTGCAGCTGGTCCAGGTGGATGCTCTCCGGAGAGACATGCAAGACGAAGCCCAGACACACCGTCATGCCAATCATGACTAGCAGGAGCAGTTTCTTACACCGTCTGCAGGTGGACCGTCGAAGGAGCATCCTGGAGGCCACCTTGTCTGGCTCCAGGGCCGTCTGTCAGTACAGTCCGTCCGTTCGTCCCGGCCTCTGATCCTCGGTATGTCGCACCACCGCCGTTATAAACAGGTCAGTGTTCCACGTCAAACTGCTGACTATTCAAAGTTGTGGTACGGTTTGCTGGGAGTGCACAGACTGGTTTGAAATGTGTAAAGATATTCGCAAGACGGCTTCATCAATTTCTCTCCCCGACCCACTGAGATCGGCATTTGAATGCAGGCTCAGCTTGAGGCTGTAGTTTTGGCACTCAACTCCACAGACTTTTGGGGTTGAATCTGTAGTCTGAAAAACTCTGCAAATGTGCTCCTCTATACAAGGGCTGTTCGCGTGGGGTTTTGCGGGTCACGTCGCCAATGAGCATATCACTACCATTTATACACGGCTTCATTAGCAAAAACTCTCAATCATTCACCAAAAACAAAGTCGGACAAGAACTAGGTCCAGGGTATCTGCACTGATTTTTCCAACGAAGATATATGCCGATAATTAGGCAAATGTTATATATTACATACACTTCTGAGCCAGAGACCACCTTTACCTGTGCGAGGTTTATCCAGTATTCATGCTGCAGTGGAGCGCAGATTCGCAGTTTCATTCAGAATAGTTCCTTTCAAGAGATGTCTTACTAACATCGAAGGTCGATGTGCGTGCGCATTCCGTAGGTGTCAGCTGGCATTGTGAGGCGTGTTGATCCACTCAGCAATTAAATACATCCCGAGTCGCAAATGAAACATTATATCGAGGACTCACTTCCAAGTTCTTGACCTCTGTGCTGGTGGGCGGAGCCTGAGCGCTGGCCCTGAAGCAACGTCGGTGATGATGCGAGTGGAGCGAGTCGGTTGACGGTCGGTGCACTCGCGGGACGTCCGGACGATCCAGCTCATACAAGAGGGGGAGGAAAGTTGTAACAGCAGTGACTTTTTTTATTTTGTGGGATCACGCAGATGTGTGATCACGTATAGGATTTCTTGAAAAGAGGGCCCCTAAGCCGCTTCTTCCAAGTAGCCCACGAAGCATCATTCTCGATAACTTAACTCCCTCCACTTGGAGCACTCTCATGTTCCTATCACGTCACCGACGTCATGCGTAGTTGAATGGCAAAGCAGAAACGAAGACGTCACAGTGGCCCCGACTTGAGTCAAGTCTATCGGGGGCCACAAATATCGTGCACCAAATTGCGATCCCAGACAGAGTCGGGTTCTGCTGTCCAATACTGATTTGATAGATGAATATATATCTGAAAACTCAGCGGGACCGAGCATACACGGCGGGGTACCATGCATCTGCTGGATCTCGCGGAACAGACGTAATCGTTGTTCGTCTCTAAAACAAAAGAAAACCGCAAGATCTCAGCAGGCGGCACTGTCTTTTCTGTTTAGATGATTCGATGTGATGGGAAGAGAAAAATGAGACATTTTCTGCGCGCTGCGGGTGACGAAAACATGCTGACATTCAAGTTTGGATTCTCCTTGATGACGTCGAGATTTGTTCGAATTAAAGCGAAGGCCCAATGTATGACCCCAAGTTGGCGGGCGTTCGAGTGATGATGTCGGGTACGGAGCCCTGAGCGGCCCTGTGTCACGCCAATGTCTTCGTGTGTGATGTGATTTCTAATGCGATTGCAGATAATTCAAAGTTCAAGTACGTTATTGTTATTCCATATTGAAAAATTTAAGGAGCTTAGTCTCGTGAAGATAAAGACCGTCAGCCTGGCTCTGTTTGGCGGCGACATAACCAGATTGTAAAACCTAGGGGTCGGAATCGTAACAGTTTCTTCAGCTAATTCAATTTTGTTGGCCTGGAAAAATATGTAGTACACCTCCACTGGGGTGCTTTTATATATGCCAAACTACCGGGATGCTTTTATCATAGTTCCTCGGATTTGAATTCTGAAAAAGAGGATTAGGCAAACTTCCCCAGATAAATACGAGCCCAAATTACGCTAATGTCGTTTACCTTGCTCGAACGTCGGGAGCTGCAGAAAATAATTTAATTTTACCTCACTCAGCCATTTTGGGGGGTTGAAAGCCATTACCGGATGAACTCTGAAAAGTAAGGAATGCAATCAAGAAGAAGGCGACCTGGACGATTTCCCTTAAAAGACAACTAGGGTTAAGCATCTTATTCACCCATCGCGTCCATGCCCCCCTCTACGTGGGAAAACTCAACCGCACCGCTTGGCCTCGCCCGTGCCGTTGGCCTTGCCTCGACCTATAGTTCTCCCCAGTCCCACATCCCAAATTCTGTGACAGCGGCAATTTCTCATGCTTAGTTTTCCTGAAGGAAAATCAAAAATCGCCCTGCCTAGTTTCAGGCATCATTTCCCGGACCTAATTTGACGGTATTAGCTTTTCTGGTCGGCGGATAGATTCGATTAAACTCCCTAACCAAGCTGTCTGGACATTTTGCTCTACCTGACCGAGACCAGCTGGGAAAACTTGTACAGATCACGTATCGGTACAACGTTTGTCCTTGTAAGTAGGGCGTGGTCGGAGTTTGACGTCTGAGTTGCGCAAATCATGGCACTGACTTTAAGGGCAGGGAGAGTGGCTGATCCAGGGGGAGATAAGTGGGGGACACATTAATGATGTAACTGTGAATTAACCAAAGCACGAAAATTCACGAACCCTACCTGGAGCGATAACCTTTCCCTTTTTTTAATACTTTCCCAATGAGAGAATCACTTCTTCATCTTGCGTGTGAAGAATTAATCACTTGTTTCTTACTACTGTTTGTAATTAATGATGATTAAATTATTTGGTATGCGACTTGGTGCAAGTTAACCAAAAGCTCAGGGCCTGACGTATTGATTTTTAAATCTTGAGGAAAATGGAAATTTCAGATGAATGTTAACTAATTCTGAGATGATTCCACGAAAACGTCGCAAATTCTTTTCAATTTGTAAACTGTTCAAAAAAGGGGGCTCTGATACAATGTGATCATTTCACTCCAAACGGACCCTTATCCAGGCCAAAGTTGGATATCCCTGGACCAACTCGAGATAACGGACGATGATTACACATCCTGTCTGAATAGCAGCGGACAGTCTGCGTCTTGATTCAGAGCGATCGCATACAAATTGTGATTGAGTGCCGTGTAATCCCTCGCTGAAAGCACACTCCCGTTTCGTCATCCCAGTTAGCCCCTGGCCTGTGTACATGTATACAGCCCCATGTATATAACACACTGTCTCCTTTACACTTCATCTCAGCAACAAGAAGAGGGCGACTGAAGAATATGGATGAGAGAATGTCGAGTGAGTCCGCAGCTAGCTATGAATGGTACCCATCTCTGGATTTCTCTTTGTCTGTAGGCGCACGTCACTCTCCGAACGCGCGCCGGCAATATCGGCCGATTCTCTGCATATTGAAGGCGTTGCCCCCGTTGAGTTTAACCGCGGCTAGCCAGCCGCAAGTTCCTGTTTTCAACCTTCGGGCACACGCGCTTTCCCAAAAAAAGTCTTCTTTGCCGGTAGTGATTCTCCAGCATCCTTCCACTCGTGATTTTTGAACATACCTCACGTCGCATTGGCATATCTCCCTGTGACTCACAATATAGTTTTAAGTTTAAAATGGAACTAAAAAAATAAAACTCAACCTGAGATGTCCCTTCTTATATTTTCCTTTTTCATTGACATAGGCAAGGACATTGGGTCACTTGTTGGTCAAAACATACTCAAGATATGTCTACAAACATTTGGTAAAAGACTAAATATTTAGGTACCTTGGTAATATCGAAATAATATTCTGTGAATTAGGGCGTGGCACCCCTTTGTAATTATAATATTCCAGAGAAAGAGCTATAGCTAAGTATTCTCCTGTCCACTGTTGGCAGGTTCCATTCCATTCCGTAGGGATGGCGGGTTCACACGTTTTGAACACAAGGACAAATTATGTGAAAGCCCTTTAACTTCCTAGCAAATAACATCATGATGGGCTCACGTCCAAGCCGAGGAACCTTGTGAATTTTCGCATGAGCTCACGGAGGGCATTTACTGGATAATGTTTATTATGATATCACCAAAGGCCTGCAAAATATAAAACGTGGAGTCTTTGATCCGGTCAGCACTTCGAAATGTCAGTCTGGTGTTGTTTGGTTATATTCAGAACTCTTCAAAGAGCGACCACAGAAAAAATGAAATCTGAATGTGTCGTACGACCCTTCTCTGGCATGACACACACAGAGCAGCACCGTGGGGGAAACTTTGTCCCCCCCCGACATGTTACCCTTTGTAAAGGAATTGAAAGTGCTATGCCTAACACTTTGGAAACAGAACTACCACCATTTCGGGGGGCAGCTGTGAGAATTCTTTTACTGATGAAAAAATCCGGAAAGTCGTAGAACAAAATCCCATTTTGCCTACCTAGAAACTAAACCTGGGCATGCCACTGACACAGAAACTAGTTTTAGTATATGTCTGAGGACCTATAAACTTTAACATATCCCATGAGACTGTGTATACGAAACCCTTCCGAGGACTTAGGTCCTCGCGCAATCGCTCTATATTACGACTCGGGCAAAATAATGTACATCTATGTAATCTTTCGGCGCAAGAAAAGTCCTCGGTAACTGAATAGTACATGTACGTACCAGGATCGATGTGCAGGACCCACTAGCATGTTCTAAAAATACAGAAACCATTATCTTGTATAATAAATTGAATCTTGCTGATTCGACGTTGCACCTTGGTAGATCGGCGCTTCAATCGATCATCGGGGTGGTGGCAGTCAAGGGTCAATCACAGGGATCATGGGAATGAGGTCACGGACACGCGGTCCCCTGAGAACCCCCCTCCATACATCAAAGTGTCAATGTGGGCTCTAGCGTTTGCAGGTAACCAAAAAAATGGGGTCACGGGCGTTATAGGAACCCTGGGGATCAGGACCGATAGCACCCATCTTGATCGCTGTCCAAGGGGCCACAGGTGGAAAAGAAACTGAAATCAGTGTTTGTTTAACACCCGCTGCTCGCTGTTGGAGGCAAGAGGCCGATGGGTACACCATTATAAAGTCCTGAACCTCAACCCAGGGATCTTGTTAGAGAGAAAGTAGGACATGCGTTCATGAAGGTTCGCTACACTGTAAGGGCCTCGAGGCTCGAAAGGATGCGGCTTAGATCTCGGTTTTGCTGGTTCTAGTCAGAGCTTGAATAATGTGGTTTCAAACGCTGCTTCAAAATGGCTGGAACCAGCGAAACCAAAGTCTAAGCCCAATCCACTCGTTTCGAAAACGGGCACCAGTCTTGCGCGTATAACCGTGATTCTAAAAAAAAAAAGAGCAAGCAACGGGCGAAACGATGGACGGCAGCGCGTTCAGTGCGAATTGCGCGTGACACACTTAGACTGCCTGTATTAATTTTGTTTACATGTGCTCGCAATATACTTTTTCACTCTATGGCACGGTATTACTATCTCTTCTTTTCAAATGTTACAACCGCATAGTTTCAAATCTTCGTGGACCAGATCAAGTAAACAGGATTTTGTTCACAATCGAAAAACGGCTTCATAGAATTTTATGGCTTGAATTCTTCAACTGTGCGTAAATTCCCTATACCAAGGGGTGAGTTTGTCCACGCTTTTGGATTTAGTCGGGTGCTGTCTCGGCTACGGTACCCCGCCGTTGTTTTGAATGGGAGCTGCCCGTCTGTGTGTGTATATGTCTGTGGGCTCCCTTGGGCGGTACTGAACTTCGCTGGTTCACGAGTGACTAGGAAATGCACGGTCGCGTTGCTACCATCAACAAAATGAACACTCCCAACTAACGCGGTTCTTTTCAACCGATGAGGGGGTGCTTCTGCTCGAGGCAGATTCAATGAAGGACCCATTGTCACTGACGATCGGTAATGGAAAGCTGTTATTACACATTACGAGACG